GAATTATGCAACAACCCATCTTACAAGCAAAGTTTGTGCAAAGAACTACTGCCACTCTCCAAATGGAAAATTCCCGTTTAATTTTTTCACTGTTACTGTTAGAGTATTTCCACTATCCCTCCCATCCAGATTTATCATCTGAAGTTTGTTTTAATCTTACTCTCTCTAGATCTGTACTCTCCTACTCTCCCTAGGTCAGGAAACGTCCTTTGAGCCCAAACACTTAATGGCCAACCCTCTGGAAGGTCTGAATAAAATTCTTTGGAACTGCTGTGAATTCCCTGAACACACACCCTTTTGTTCAAATGAAGCACAGAAATGCATTCCAAACTCAAAATGAAATAGCTAGCAATTTAGATTTTTTTCCATTACTACTACACTTTGATCAGTGGAGATAATCAAGAATTGACAACAGACAGAACCAGAAGATATTTTTAAAAAGGCACTTTCCCTAAAAGAGGTTGCTTAAAGTATGGGTCTACACAACTAGGTACAATGCTTGTTTCAATGACTATTTCATCCCACTACAAAATACTGTCTTTGACTACAAAATACTTTTCTTTAATAGGGGGAATACAGAACTTTTCAGATAAAATGCAATTCTCATCTGAACCACAATTTTTTTTGCATATACATATAGCGTTGGACAAATAATTCTCACATTTTCTTTTCCCTAAATTGTACTATCAGATATAGTTGTCAACCATTTGTTCAGCTCTTGTTTTTGCTTATTCAGGAAGTAAGGAAGTAAATGTCCAATCAAGGGTATTTGTTGTGTGTGTGTGTGTGTGTGTGTGTGTGCGCGCACGCGCACATGCACACGTGTGCATGCCTGCGCATGTATATATGTATCTTTAATTATATGCCAGTTTCAGGTAGGATTGATTTGAATATTATCAGTTTCTGGTATTTTTATGAATGTTTTTCATTTATCACCATGAATATTCATGGTGATTTTAATCGAGTCCAATTTTTTTAATGTGAAACATATGCAATAAGAATGACTGTAACTGACCTCTAATTTCCAATTTTCTCTTTACCAATTCAAATCCTACCAGTGTCACAAATTATGCTCGCTCACCTTGTCAAACTTCTCTCCATAAGCCAATTGAGAGAAATTCAGATTTGGAAAGGAGGGATTGAAATGGCAAAGAACAAAAGTGTACATTAGGGCAAGTTACCAGTCTTTTGGGAATAGGTCAGGGCTCCACTCAATCAGTCTGAGGACGTAGGGAACTAACATTCCTCACCTCCAAACTCTGTTCCTATATTTTGTTAGTGTGAACAAAGACATTTATATGCAATAAAATCTATTAAAACTCGTAGCATTTTTGTGTGGAGTCAGCCATAAGTTACATCAGCATCCCTCCATCTCTGACCCGAACATCAAATTCCTGTCCAGAGCAAGGTTATTGCTCTTGTGTTCTGACTTTATTGTTATAATGTGGCTCCTGTTGTATTTCATAAAAAAAACCCCAAACATTTAGGTGGAATTTTTCAGCTTTATCAGAATGTTTGATGTTCAGCATTCTACATTCTAAAATCCTACATTACTGTTTCCAATCTTGTTCAAAATAATGCACAAAGTATAAATCTTTGGGTAGCTAAAGATAATCAGAGCTTATGGAATGGTTTTTATTTCTCCAATCCAGGCGTATATCTCCATTTTTAAAAGAATCCATTAAATCCTCTGAAACATAGTGAATAAAAATTAATTAAAAACATGAAAATCAGGTATACAGATAATTTCCATATCACGGCATTGGAGCTTATTTGTATTCAAAATGTATTTACATACTTCAAAAAAAACTTGCCTCAACCTTTCTCCCATGATGAATATAATGGATATTACCTGCACTAAAGTAATTTCTGATATGCCATAGTTAAGTTTCTCTTTCCTTTGGTTTCTCTTCTTCCTTCTTTCATGCCTCTTCTCTCCTACCTTCCCTTGCTCCTTTATTTTCATACTTTTCTTCTTCTTTCTACTTTCCTCTTTCCCAAAAACATGTAAACTGGCTTAAGAGATTAAGTAAACAAACACTAAAATAAGTAAACAAAACAAAGCCAGTTTGTTAACTAACAAGTTGTTTAATCCTCTGAACTTTAGTTTCCTCTACTTTCACTCTAGCATTTCTATCACTGTATAAGTTTTCAAAAAGTTTTTTCTCTGATTACCCCCTTAGCAACCAGGTTGTGCCGAAATGGCTCAAAAATGCATCTTCTACTTTGAGATTTAATAAAAATGGCATCTCTTGTCTGTTGAAAAAGTTTTAAGCCAATGACTTAAAAAAATTGATTGCCAACCAGAAAAACTAATGGTGCTTCTTAGACAGCAGTTGTGTGAATGATAATACATAGGCATACATCCTGGATTGCTTTATTTCTCTAGTATCTCATCATGACCCATGAAGAGCATTTGTACCCATTGTCCCCCATGACCTGTTGAGTCATCCTGCCCCACCTCTCAAGCCGAAGGCACATACAACAGAAGAGGCCTTTCCCAGTTTGTACACAGAATCACATAAAACATATACACACTGACATGGTATATAACTGTGCACATACGCATTTTTTTAACATGTGTTCATCATGCCAGCATGGGATGATAAAAACACGGTTCTCAGTTTTGAAATCCAAACTGTTGTTCTTGACAAAATGGAAATAATCTATCCAAATCTCTTCTGGTTTAGTAGAAACGTTGACTTTTAACAAATATACCTTCCTGGGGGCTTTCATTATATTTCATAAAAGAAGCTACAGCTTTGAATCTCATGTACATTAATACAGAGGGAAAAAGGAAGATTCAAATATTTCTCTTTTTTTGTTTACACATGATACTATAGTAGCTTCTCCTTAAAAATATAGCAATTTTGTCATGCCAGACAACAAAATAAATGGTGCTCAAATCATGGGTGCACTTTCTTGGCAAAATCATTGAAAGTTTCTGTGTATGGGGTATCTCACATTCTTGACTCTTTCAGAGCTTTGAAGGTGGTCACCTGTGGCTATTTTGTGAAATAAACATATTATATTTTTTTTCTTCATTGGCCATCAGTGAAGGAGGATGAAGAGTAAGATGGAGGCAGTGGCAAAGACAGCAGACTACAGATGCAGGTATGGCACCAAATAGCAATCAAGCTTGGAAAAAATCATGAGGAGGCCAAGAGCAGACCTACAACTGAGCAATATATAGCAAACCTTTACAATGCATTTGACTCAGAATAATTATAAAGTGGTATAACATTCCTCTAAGAGAAGCCTTCTCCCATGCAAGGATTTATGAACTTTGCCAATAAGACTCAAAGAAGGAAACAGGCTTCTTGATAGTGTTCTCAGTCTCAAACACCTCTGCAAATGCCAACAGTGCAAGTGATAAAAGCCAGTGATGGTTTGACTACATCTAAATGAGGAAAAGACAATGGAAATGAAACTCTGGAGGCAGTGACGAACAATGGGTACTGAGAGGATGATGGAAAGCAACTCTGCCAGTAAAACATCTCCTACATGAGCTTGTGGAGTCTGAGATCCACAAAGATGCTTTGCGCATCCATGTAAATAATAAGATTTGGAAAGTCACACATGAAAGCACACAAGGCAAGCTAAACAAACAGCACTCAGTTCCACAGGTGCTATGTACAGATGGACATGGAAGCTGAATGGTATGGGAAACTATACCATCGAGGCTGAAGATAAGAAAGGAAGCAAGGGAGATGCAATGTTTTGATCACTTCTTGGCAGAGAGAATCTTGGTAATTACCAACTCGGCAGAAAGGACACATTGCAAGACAGATTGCTCTTGGTTCTTGAAGAATGTTGAAGCAGGATCATTTTGGATATGCAAAGAGGTGACTATGCTTTGGGAAGAGGCACAAAATAGCCAATGTATTGGGCTCTAGGTGAGACTGCATGGAACAGGCTTTCCAGATGGCATCTCCATGCAAGCTAGGTCAGCTCTTTTCCCAGCTATGTTTTCTGCAAGCCAAACAATATAGGAACTGAAATCTTTGGGTTCAAGAATGATTTTTCCACATATTTTTATCAAACGGTCAAACTGCTGAATTTCTGAAAATGGCTTGGGAAAGAACTGAGTTTTGTAACCAGTTGGATTTCCACAAGGCATTCACCATGGTGACAATGTTATATTCCTGGTAATGCCACACTTAAAACAGAAGCATCATGGTTGACTGGGAAAAGAACTAAAGGTGGCAGAGCCACACTTCAGAATTTGCAAATAGTTTACAGTAGATGGCACCTTGTATTGAAAGAAAGGGACTGAGGGAGAAGAAGCCAAGGTGAAGAACCTCAACACATACATTTGGAAATCTTGCCAAGAAATCACGATTCTTCTATTCACTGACTTGTTATTTCTTTGCATTTGATGAAAATGGACCAGATACTCATATTTTCATGAGAAGGGAAACATTGGAGTGATTGAGCAAAGAATATATAATTGTTAGTGTTTGGCAACTATGTTAGTTTTTGGCAACAGCACATCAACCTGTATTAAATTCAAACATTTTCTGGCTTTCAAGGGTTACTGATAACCTAGTATGCATTGGAACCTGATGAATGAATTCCTATTGTTTTCATCATCTCTAACATGTGAACAAAATCCACACATAGAGAGGCTGGCTCCTGAACAGAGAATGAAAATTACTAGGAATAACAAAGGGAAGTAGACTCACAATGAGTAAATATACAAAAGCCCCAAATAATTATAATAGTCACAGCTTGGCAATGAGTTTCCAGGAGATGAAATTAGTTTTCTTATAAAGAATGGAGATTTTACAAGGCTAGTATAAACATGGGGTAATTGGAAAATCAAATTGCTCTTTGTGAGTTATTGTAAGGTCTGGAATAATGGTGATAACATTTACTTTAAAAAAATCCTCCCTATGAATCACTTTAGTTTGGTGTTTTAGCAGTACTGTTGCCAAGAATGCCTGCCTTGGAAGCACAACAGTAGGAACTCTAATTATGAATCCCAAATCCTGGCTTACCCCTGACACAATGAGCTCTCCTCCCAGATTCTGTACTTCTGCCTTCACCTTGCTGCAGATATTAAGCTGATGGCAATACAAGGCAATTCGTTGAAGGTAGGCTAATAAATCCTGCTTGCATGCTGAATCAGGACACTATAAAACATTAAAAAAAAGTGATCTCACTTAGCAAGTACTCTTCAGTTTTTAACACTTGCTATATAAAAGCTGTGAAAAGAAAAGGTTTCAGTGATGACACCTTAATTACATCCATTTAACTTAACTTCTTTATAGGGTATTTTAGGAAGGCTTGAGCCAATAGTTTAGAATGGTTAGCTCTACATTGATAAAATTCTATAAAAAGAATATTGAAGATCTTCCAAAAAGTCTTATTGGGACTTCTGTATATGTTTATGAGTATTTTTACCAGTTGTCTTCCAAAATGTTAAGAAAACTTACTATTCTATAGGTTTTTTCCTATTGGCCCATTCAATATTCACTATGTGCAAAGTTATTTAATACAGACAATCAAAGCAACAGATGCTAGAAGGAAACTGCTCTGTGTGGCAATCTCTCTGCCACAGCAGAGAAGAGAGTTTCAAACCAATTAGTTGGGGGAAAAAATCATGTTTCCTTTGGCTTCCTAAGACACGCATCATTCATTAAAGGAAGTCGATTGCACTTTTTGGATTTTCACATTTATCAAAATTTTAGCAACCTGATAAACTCCTTTTAAATAAGAGTCTCTGAGAAGGATTATAACCACTGTAAAAGGAATAGATTTGAGTGGAAAGAATTTGAAGACAATTGAAATAAACGCATATGAGTAACAACAGAACCCTCCAAAGGAGGCACCAGAGAGTCAACCATGGCCAGTGATTTTGAATTCTCTTTGTGACCTATGTGGGTAGATGTCCATCAAATATACCCTGGGCTTAGCTGAACATTTCCACAGACACTGACATGACTCCCTAAAACATTTCTGAGGCTTCAATGCCAATGGCTATCCTGTAATTAAAGTATATTTCTATTCTATCAAAAGTTCAGCTCCAGATTCTCCAGGCCATTCCGTTGTTCTGGCTCAATATGGCACTTGTAAAGGACATGTAATCACCTGATCCTTGATGAAACATGATAAGAAATAAGTAGCTACAGCCCAAACTGAAGTATCTTATTTAGAAAAAGAGTATGAGAAAAAGACTCCAGCTAAGTTTCCTTCAAGCTCAAGAGAGAGTATTCTTTCATTAATACTGTGAACCCAGTGGTTTCAACACAACCATTTATTTAATAAATGCAAAAGGGGTCTCTTTTATACACTACTCTTACTATTGTGGTATGTTTTTTCACTAACTGCATTTATCAAGAAAGAATCCCACAGAGACTGTTTTTAGCTTTCTGTAAGTGCCGAATACTATAATATTTATCCTTCTCCAGAGACCCATATTCTGAAAGGAATTAACTTTAAAATGATATCTCCCCAGAGGGTTGACAAGGCTTTCAATACAAATACCTTGAAGCAAATTAAACTGGAAGTTCTATCTCAATGGAACATTAATTAAAAATGCAATGGTCCATAAAAATTTTATATTGTGTGCATATCTCAAATCTTCATACAAATATTTTCAGGCAAAATAAAGGCAACCAATCCACTTCTTGGTAATGCTCATTCTATTTTATTATTTAAATAGAAGCATTTAATACACACATAAATGCATGATGGACCAAGAAAAATAACTTATATCATGGAAACAGGTATCGAATTTGAGAAAGAAATGCCCCATTCAGACAAAACATTAGCAAAAATTGCAAGTTGCTTCATAGCTAATGACAGTAAGAATGTCACAATGAGTATTATGTTTAATCTTCATCTGTCTATTTTAAAAGTCATCATTAAACAGCATTTAAATACTTTATCACTTAATCTCAAAATACATCTAGAGTGCTGAATCTAGAATTTGTGTGTGTGCACAAGCAGTGTGTTTTCCAAATATGAAAACTGTTTTGGGCTACGATTCAATTTTTTATAATTGTTGGAAATAAGGACCCAAAGATGCAAAATCAAAACCAATGATCACAATAAAAAATACTGAACTTGAGGAGTCTAAACATGTTGAGAAATAGTTTCAGCTATTGAAATTCAGAGTATAATGGAAAAGCTATCCAAACTCCATGCATTTTCACTCCAGGGAAGAAGTCCTTCCTAACAAAACCATTTTCAGAACCACCCACCAATCTCTGGTCACTCCACTCATTCCAACCCCCTCAACATTTGCAGAAAAGAATGTGGCATTCTTTTCTGGTGAGTGCATTTCTGGTTTTTTGCAAGCATACGTGCATATTTTCAAGTAAGTTTATTTTCTCTCTTCTCTTCTATGTGAGCTTTCTGGGGTACATATGGAACTCTGTAGAAAGAAGTGCAACTTATGCTGCAAGCCTGGCAGTTGAATTGCTCTGAAATTGGCAATTTAGTAATGACTTGGTCCTCAACTCCAACCAATTTTGGGGGATTCTCAAATTATGGTAATATTTAATGAAGCATCTTTACTATTGTTTCTCAAAAATTCAAAAGCAAGCAAAAAGCAGCCCTTTGGATTAGCCAACATATATGTAAAAAAATTAAAATGAGACAATCTGTTGGCTCATTTTAAATGTAATCCTAATAGTTTAACCATGTGTTTTTCTTTTCAGTCTTTAAAAGATGAATAAATTTGGTATTGACCCGAAGGATTCTAGAATCTGGGATGTTGAAGACAGCAAGTATTTAGAGGAAGAACCGAATATTAAGGAATGAGGAAGGAAAATTATAATAAGTAACTCAAATATCATAGGAGACTAGGGTCATCTATGGAGAAGGAAGCAATCCTAGATCTTTCAGTGTCTTTAGAGAGCATCACTGTATTGCAGTCTAGTAAGCAAATTCATGCTCATAATGTTGCCTCCATGTAAATAATAGTTTATATAATATTTTCTATTTCAGAATCTTATTTTATATTTTAAGACATTTTCCTTTTAAAATGATTCAAACTGTAAAACACTGTTGCTTAGTGGGAAAAGCCTCAGTTATCTGAAAAAGTCTATTGTCTAAAGTATCCTTAGAAGAACTGGAACATTACTGCAACAAGACACAATTAGAACAGGATTTTAGAGTTCCAGTTCAAGCCTAATAAAATGAAAAGTGTGGAAATAAGGTTAGATTGTGAACTATTTAAACGTGTATGTTAGTTCAGTCTGAAGCACAAAAGATACTCTGAGAATTTCAATTATCTCTGATGCTTTTGAGTCTGGATGAAAATAAAGTGGAAATCTGGAGGTTCTTGATTATGTGGATTATTCCCATTTATGCTAGAGTATAAATTATTATGAATCATAAAGAGCATTATTACAGTGAGATCAATATTAAGTACCAATAAGTAAAGTTTTTTCTTTCTCTTTCCCCTTATGCAGTATAACTGGCTTTTTGAAAGAGGACATCTGGGATAAGCCATTACTCGGTGGGGGTCCTCTTCTTTCTCGAGGAATTTTAGTCACAGGCCATAGGCGTCCCTCCTAAACCGAACTACCTTTCCCATTAGCTCAGTCTCAGCAGAGTTAGAGGGCAGTTCATAAAATGGGAATGATTCTCTACAATTCATTCTTCAGAGGCATTTAATAGGGTGCATAAAACCCATGACAGGACCCAAGTGCTAATTAATGATTCCACTCAGCATGTGCTTGCCTCTTATATTACCTGATCAGCCACAGCGCGGGCTAATTTGTCCATTCGAGAACCAGCTTCGGCAATTTTCTTGGCGGCATTAATGACATCAGAAGTATTTTTCAATGGGCCTTTGCCTCTGAAACAACATATACAACATAATTAGAAATCCACTTTATGACAAGAAATAGACAAACCTACCATACTGGTTGTCCAGGACTCTGCTTTTGTATTTGATTTGGCTCTGGCCATGCTGGAGGAATTTTGAATGTTTTCTTGACTCACTTCAATTTCCATGTTAACCATCCATTTTACTTCCACTCATTTTTAGGGAATATTTTTCCCTATTTTGATGTGCATGCTCACATTTTATCATCTGTATTAATTTCTATACTTTTAAACAGAGGGCTGTTAAAAATGATGATCACCACAAGGGCAATGAGAACTGAATATTTAAATGCTTACCATATGCCTATGCTGTTATACACACAACCTCATTTGTATTCATGACAACCCTAGCCAGCAGGTATCATCATTCCCATTTTAGAGAAGAGAAAGAGACTAAAAATGATAAACTCATTTAAGCTGATACAGGTCTTAAGTGATAAATTCTAAATTTAGATCAGGGCCTAGCCAAAATAAATGCACATACATTGTCTTTCATACCATGTTCAGTACTATCATTATATTAATTATATTTTTAAGTCCATTTTGGCACTTTGAGAAGCAATCGTCTTTCATATATAACTGAGCACTGTTTGGCCAAAATTTCAGAAATCTGCTGAACTTTTACTCTTGTTGGCCTATGTGCTTCTGGCACTGATTTTATGAAGGACCACACAAAACACTATGTGACAGTAGACGTCTTTATGCCTCCATACCACTGCCCCAATATTTTCACATAAGGTTTTCAATAAGGTAAACTGTTTAATATTACATGTGTCTTAAATGTCTATTATAAAGGAAAAGGAAACTATGCTGCATCATAAATCTTTAAACAAAATGTAGCATATGATATAACTTTTCTTTCTCTCTTCTTGAGAGGTAAATAAAATAATAGTGTTATCCTTATTTTATCTTTTTAGCATAGTTACTTATCCTGGTTTCCTTATGTGCATCTAAAAATCAACGCATTTTTTAAGGCTACAAAATTACATTCCTATAGTTAGAAGTGTGGTGAGATGTGGAGAAAAACTACTCAGAAGCAATTTATTTAGACCACGTAGTGTTATGTAGAGTGAGCAATGACTGCCATTGTTACATAATAACACTCTATAAAATGGAAGACTTAAAATGGCTTCACAAAATTAATGTAAATTAAGGGCAATTTTGTTCAGTTTCCCTCCTAATTTTCCTTCTGGTATTTTTTACATTAGTAGCTAAAAGTAAAACATACTGTGTTCATGTCAAGGCTTAAACACACACATAGAGAAATTCAAAACTTAAGATATTTCATTTTGCTATGGTAACATTAACTCTTCAACAAAAGACATTGATTTCTTTCAGTTGCTGCATAGATTTTAAAATATGGACAGGGATTTCACATGGGAATTTTACGTAATATGGATGAATTAAAGATTCTGTGACAATCTGGCTCCCAGTCTCTAACATTATTATTCTTTTATTATCTCTAAATAAATGTTCCTTGTTTTTGTGTTTTATATATATATATATATATTTTTTTTTGGTGAGGAAGATTGGCCTTGAACTAACATCTGTACCAATCTTCCTCTATTCTGTATGTGTCATGCCACCACAGCATAGCTCGATGAGCAGCGTTTAGGTCTACGCCCAGGATCTGAAACTGCAAACTCCAGGCCGCTGAAGCAGAGCATGCGAATTTTAACCACTACACCACGAGGCCAGCCCCGTATATTTACTTTTTATGTACTTTTCTGTAGGTATATTTCATAATTTAAATAACGTTTATTCACTTATTTTTCTGTCAATCTGATGGATACGAAAAGGTTAATTTTGACAGAGAAGGCCAAGTCTCTTCTTATCATTTATTGACCATTATTGTTAATCATTCATATTTCCTTTTCTGTGAGTTGTTTATTCAAGTCTTTTGCATATTTTTCTATTGACTTGTTTGTTTTTACCTAAATTGCTTGACTAAGCTTTTTAGATATTTTGGATTCTGATCTTTTGTTAATTATTCATCTTGCAAATCACTTCTTCCAGTCTTATCCCATATGTTTACTTTTATTACAGTTTTTCTTAAAATATATTTTAATTTTATTGGGGTCAAACATATTAATCATTTCTACCAAAGTTTGTGCTTTTCACACGTTCTTTAAGAAGTTCTTCCTTACTGGAGGCGTTAGCTAATGCCATGGAGGTAATCATTTTGCAATGTATATGTGCATCAAATCAACACATTGTACACATGAAACTTACACAATGTTATATGTCAATTACAGCCCAAATAAAGCTGGAGAAAAGAAAGAAAGGAAAAGTTCTCCCTTGTCCCAAGATCATAAAAATAGTCTCTCATTTTATTCTAAAATTTTAAAGATTCCTTTTCATATTTAGATATTAAATCCACCTGCAGGTTTTTTGTGTGTGTGTGTGTATAAGGTGAGCTAAAAATCACACTCTTACTTTATTTTTCCATACCAGTAACCAACTGTTCATGGACTATTTATTGGAAAGTTAATCCTTTCCTCCATAGTCTTCTTTATCTTTAAGTTTTGTACCTTTTTATTTTTAAATTCTGTGTGAGTAAATGTATTACTTTAAAAGGCAAATATAGGGGCTGACCCCGTGGCCGAGTGGTTAAGTTCGCGCACTCCGCTGCAGGCGGCCCAGTGTTTCGTTGGTTCGAATCCTGGGCGCGGACATGGCACTGCTCATCAAACCACACTGAGGCAGCGTCCCACATACCACAACTAGAAGAATCCACAACGAAGAATATACAACTATGTACCGGGGGGCGTTGGGGAGAAAAAGGAAATAATAAAATCTTTAAAAAAATAAAAAAATAAAAAAAATAAAAGGCAAATATAAACCCATGCATATATTGTCAATTTATGACAAAGCACCCAAGAACACCCAATGGGGAAAAGACAGTCTCTTCAATAAGTTATGTTGGGAAAACTGGACAGCCACCTGCAAAAGAAAAAAGTTTGACAACTGTCTTACATCATACACAAAAATCAACTCAAAATGTACCAAAGGCTTGAAGGTAAGACCTGAAACCACAAAACTCCTAGAAGAAAACACAGGTGGCAAGCTCCTTGACATTGGTCTTGGCTATGATTTTCTGGATTTAACATCAAAAGCAAAGGCAATAAAAGGAAAAATAAACAAGTGAGACTACATCAAACTAAAAAAAAACAGCAAGAGAGATCACTAACAAAATGAAAAGGCAACCTACTGAATGGGAGAAAATATTTGCAAATTACATATCTGATAAGAGGTTAATATCTAAAATATATAAAGAATTCATACAACTCAACAGCAAGAAAACAAACAGTCCAATTTAAAAATAGGCAAAGGACCTTAATAGATGTTTTGTAAAGAAGATATACACATGGCCAACAGGTACATAAAAAGGTGCTCAACATCACTAATCATCAGGGAAATTCAAATCAAAACCACAGTGAGGTATCACCTCATACCTGTGAGAATGGGTATTTTAAAAAGACAAGTAACAAGTGTTGGCGAGGATGTGGAGAAAAGGGGACACTTGTGCACTGCTGGTGAGAACATAAATTGGTGCAGCTACTATAGAAAAGACTGTGAAGCTTCCTCAAAACATAAAAAATAGAACTACCGTATGATCTAGCTATTCCACTTCTGGGTATTTATCCAAAGGAAATGCAAACACTAATTTGAAAAGATACATGTACCCTCATGTTCATTGCAGTATTATTCACAATTACCAAGATGTGGAGTGTATATATATATATGTATACACACACACACACACCCCACACACACAATGGGATATTATTCAGCCATAAAAAAGAATGAAAATTTTGCCATTTGTAACAACATGGATGGAACTCCAGGGCATTATGCTCAGTGAAATAAGTCAGACTGAGAAAGACAAATACCATATGATCTTACTTATATGTGGAATCCAAAACAAAACAAAAAACCTGAGCTCATGGCTACAGAGAACAAGTTGGTAGTTACCAGAGGAAAGGGAAGGAGTGGTGAAATGGGAGAAGGGGGTTAAAAAGTATAAACTCTCAGCTGTAAAACAATAAGTCATGGGGATATAATAATATTGTACTGTATATGTGAAAATTTCTAAGAAAGTAGATATGAAAAATTTTCATCACAAGAAAAAATTGTAACTATATGATGATAGATGTTAATTAGATTTATTGTGGTAATTATTTCACAATATATACAAATATTGAATAAAAAAGAAAATGTAATTATAAAAACAGAAAGCATAACTACCCAGAAAAATAACACAATGAAAACTGCCCACTGCCAAATAGAGAGTCTAGACATTCCTAAGTATTTGAAGTACTAAGATATAGTTACAGTCATGTGCACCCTCATCGTCTCATGAGAATGAATTAAGAAAATTCTTTGAATCATCTAGAAAATCCTGAATATCATAGGTATATGGTTCTCAGCATTATGCAAGATGCTTCTAAGAAAGTTTCAAGACCCAGATTTATTTGAGTACAGAATTAGTGACATGACCCACTTTCCCCACATCATGAACACAAGAGAGAGGGTATAGAAAAGATAGTTGTGCCATTTTGTGGGGTGGAGGATCAAAGTTATTCATTTCTTTCTGCTTATCTGCCAGGTTGTGTGGCTGCCCTTATGAGTAGTTGGGTACTTATTGTGGGGTAATAACCAGTACCTTTAAAATAAAAGACCCTGAACTCAACTGATGTAGCAAGTGCAGCATTTTCTTTTATGTCATCATTGCATAGATTGGAGGTGAACTCTGAAACTCCCTCAGACATCAGTGTCTGACGCAGTGCTATCCAGGAGAATTTTTGTAATGATGGACATGTTCTATAATTCTACATTGTCCAATATAGTAACCCCTAGCCACATGTGAATACAGAACACTTAAAATGTGGCTAGTGTGACTGAGGAACTGAGTTCAATTTTTTATTCTACTTTTAACTTTTCATTTTGAAGTAATTACAGATTCCTAGG